TCAAAAAGCAGCAGAAAAAAATCATATTAATGCAATGTATAGTTTAGCTGCATGTTATAGAAATGGAGAAGGAACAGAAAGGAATTTAGAAAGGGCCTTTTATTGGCATCAAATAGTAATAGAAAGTAACAAAACAAATTCTAAAACCCAGTAAATAGTTTTTGTATAAATTTGTACCGAATATATATTAAAATATACAACATATAAGGATGAGCCCGTTTGGCACGAAATTTGAATTGATTTGTTCTGAATTAATTCCGAATTCATTCTAATTTTAACTATATTTATGCCAAATATGTTATAAATCTATTCTGATATTGAGCCATCTATAAGCCAAATATTTGCCAATAAATGTACCAAATTTATTTATATTTGCTTAATAGTATGTAATACATAAAATATGATATCTACAATTATTATAGGATACATAGTATGTAATTTAGCATATTTTATATTTACTAAAATATAATCAATTCCTTTTCTTTGGAAGGCCCCTTTGTACTTTTTGTTTGTTGGTAGAATTAACACTTGTTGTACTTGTAGTCTTAATTCGAGTGGAATGGCGGGTTCTTTATTTTTTAAGATCATTATTCGCACTTGTAGACTCAATTTGTGTAGAATTACTCCTTTTTCTTTACATTTACTGGTTGGATCAACAAGCTTATTGTCAGAAGAATTATTGGTCGGAGTGATGGAAGAATCTTCAGGATTTTTTCTTTTTAAAGAAATTTCGTCATTTTTATCATCATCTTGAATATCAATGATTTTGTTAGACAAATGAGAATTTTCTTTTGGGATGTCTTGTTCTGATTGTAAATATAGATTTAGAAGTATCTAAAAATATAATTTCAGTTATCATATAATAATAAATATTTTTATTACAAATGATTTACAATTAAAATTTGCTTACTTAAAGTAAATACTTCATTAACTTTATGTTTGTTGTTTCTTGCTTTAATAAGCATTTTTTTCTGTTTATTCATAAGTTCTTCAATTTGCTGAGTAATATCTTGAAGTTCATCTATTATGTAATAAAATTTAGTATTTTTAATAATAAATGTAATAAAACATAAGTTAATAAACTTACTTGTAGTCATATTGTTAGATTCCAATTTGGGATCATCTTGTTCAGTGTCATTTTTATGATCAGAATGTAGTGTTTCTATTGAAGTAAAGTCACCAGAATTATTTTGTGATTCTTCAACATCACTTGTATGATTATTGTATGAAGTAGATTCTAATTCCATGGAATTTCTAGATTTCTTATGTTTTCTAGATTTTTGAGTTTTAGAAGATTTATCAGGTTCTTTATTATATTCCCCTAATTTAAAAAAAAGTTAGTTATTATTATTTGAATATCTAATAAAAAGTTATTATTAAAACTTACTATAATTATTAACCCATCTTCTAATCATTTCTCTAAGAGCCCAATCGCCCATAGTTTGAGGAAAACGCTCATTTTGATCCTTAAACTGGAATGATATTTTAACAAATAGACTTTAATATAATTTTTTTATACACTTGTTTATTACCTTGCGAATTGTTTTATTAATAAGCTTTGTTTCAATATCCTTAAACATCATAGTTTTAGCAACTTCTGATAAATATTCTTCACATAAATGACGAAGTAATTCCCAAAAATTGAAATAAGTTAAATATTGTACAATAAATAAAGGTATTATTATTAAGAATAAAAGGAAAAGTACCACATATCCATTCCACGTCATTTTTCTAATATGAAGTGTTCTTGGAATATCATAATAGTTTTTGCCTTTTTCCTTTGATATAGGCTAAAAATTTAAAGAAAATAAATTAAAATAGCAAAAAAATTATAATTATATTGAGTTGTTTAATTAATATGACCTGTTCAGGATCTGATGAAAACCATTCTGGCTCTTTTCCTTCACGTTTGACAGGTTTATGTATTTTTTTTGAGTCAATGGTAGCATTTTGTATTTTTTTAGTTTTTTTAGGCGTAGTTTGTATAACTTTAGAATTCAAGGACTTTTCATTTAATATTCGCCACTCTTCTTTAAGTTCAGCTATTCTATTAGAAGTTTTTTGTTTAGATATTTGTATTAATGAATTATTTGAAGAATTAGAATCACTAGCTACAGATATAATATCTGAATCTTCAGCTTTTTCAGTTTCTTGAACTCGTTGACCTCATAGTTATTCAAGTTCAAAAAATAATCAATGGCACGATTATTTAGTTTATATATATTAGTATTATAGTCCAAAAAAGTATAATTTTGTATTAATAATCCTCAGTCTTATACATATTAGTATTAGTATATAGTCTAAAAAAGTATATTATTAATCAATTTTGTATTAATAATTCTCAGTCATGTGATTATTAAACAATTATTTCAGGTCAATCCGTACATGGATTATGATCTTTAGCTAAAATTATAGTTCTATTGCGATTTTTTTTAATTTCGTGCCAACATTGTTTTAACTATTATATTAATCCGGATTCATTTATAAAATTATAAAACTAAACAGATTCCTTTAAAAATAAACTAACAAAGACATGTTAGTTATACGTATAATCAACAAAAGTTTTGAAAAATGGACTAGTAATGATACGATATTGATCAGTTCGTAAAAAAGAAACATTAGAATGGGTGCTTTATGATAATTTTTATAAATTAAACAAACATATTGCAAAAGACAGGTTTGGTAAATTGTATGGAAAGTAGATTTATGCTAGATATTACTAAAAAAAATATATATATTCATCATATTAAAATTTTATTGAATAAACATTTTATTAAAACTTGTAGATTAATAAAATGAAAAGTACAGTATTTTGTAATTTATCATTATACATTCCTTTTTAGTGAACATTTACATTTTGGTAAAAAAGTTTCGAATGTTTCATTTTGATGTCATGGCAAAATTGATAAATCATTCTCAATCACGTGTGCAGATTTATTGCCATTACTTTACGGTTATCAAATTCAAAATTTCAAAAAAATATTTGTCTATTGATTGTTTGATCATTATTAAATCATTCATATATAACTAACTAGGTTATTACATATTTTATATTAATTAAAAATTTTAAAAATTTTAAAAATAAAAATGAAAGTAGAATGTAAATGTCAATCATGTAAAAAAGAACCAAATGGGCATAAGGAAGTTTCTCAAGTGCAGAGAAGGAGTAATACAAATTTTATACAAAATTTGTACAAATTACGGTCAAATGATTTTATACGGAATACATAATTAAAATATATGTAAATTTATATGGAATTTATTTTAGAAAATATTTTAAATAAATATGTACATATTATAAATTTGGTATGATTTCATTCTTAGAATATCAATTTTAGTACAAATTTAACGTGATTTAGTAAAATCATTTTATTGATGTGATTTGGATCGGCATAAATTTAATACAAAATAATGATATATTGTATATTTTAGATATATATAGAGTATAAATTTATACGAAAACTATTTACTGGGAAAATAAAGTTGAATTTTGTAATGAATGTAAGCTACCAAATACTGATTACCAATGGTGTCAACAATGTAATACTAAACGATTTCAACAAGATTTTTCAAATTGGACTAGTAAAAATAAATTTATTGATAAATTTATTCAAGAAGCACAAATAAATGCTAAAAATAGTTATGAAATTTTAGAGTGGATACCTTACAATAATTTATCAAGTATTGATCATTATGCTAAAGGAGGATTTAGTGAAATTAATAAAGCTATCTGGTCAGATGGGCCTATTTTTAGTTGGAATTTTGACAAACAACAATGGAATAGACAAACATGTTATGAGATTATTCTTAAAACACTTAATAATTCATCAAGTTTAAATGGTGAATTTCTGGATGAGGTATAGTATTTATATTTAATAGCAAATTTTATTTCCTTGTGCAAAAGTTTAATAATTTTTTTTTATTTCATAGTGGAAATATCATTATAATTGTCAGAAAAAGTCATTTTCGAAATTTATTCAATTTTTTGGAATTACCCAAGATCCAAATAATTTAAATTATATAATAGTAATGAGTTATGCGAAGAAAGGAAGTTTGAGAAAATGTTTATCTGATATAATTAAATTCAAGTGGCAAGAAAAGTTACAATTATTGAAAAAAATAATATTAGGGCTTAAGGTAATCCATGAATCAAATTTAACTCATGGTGATTTTCATGATGGTAATATTTTAATATCAGATAATTACAATGAGTCATTTATTATTGACTTAGGTTTATGCAAACCTATTAGTAATTTACAAGACTCTGATAATAAAGTTAATGAAATTTATGGAGTTTTACCTTACATGGCGCCTGAGATATTAAGAAAAAAACCCTATACTCCAGCAAGTGATATTTATAGCTTTTCGATGATAATGTGGGAATTTACATCAGGAATTCCTCCATTTAACCATGAAGCACATGATCATCATTTTATCTTGAGTGTTTATGAAGGGAAACGTCCTAAAATTATGAAAAATACTCCAAAATGTTATATAGATTTAATGAAAAAATGTTGGGATTTAAATCCTTCCAATAGACCAACCATAATAATGCTTGAAAATATTATATCTGAATGGATTAGATGTATTAATAAATATTATGAAATAAACAGGGATGGAGATTATAAATATGAAGTACATATTATTGATAATCAATTAAAAAATGATATGGAAGAATTTGTAGAGGCAGACAAAGCTTTATTACAAGGACAAGCGAATGCTTATATTATGCAATCACATCCACAAACATATTATACAAGTCGCAAACTTACTGAAATTTTAGTTCAAGAAGAGTCTCAGGGTTTTGATTGTATGATTGAGGATATATAGAAAGCATTATTATTAGTATCCAAAGTATATTCACTAGGTATTTTTTGAATAGATTATAATATAACAATGCCAAATAATCACCTGTTACAGTATTACAAAATTTATGTACAACAGTATGACATCCAAAATTAGGCTTATAATAAATTAAAAACGTTTAAATTTTCAAGGTGACGGATGATTGTATTTTTTACATTTTACAGCATCTTCAAAATGGTTGTTCAACTTTATTCTAATTGTTTATTTTGATGTAAGTCGATTCCTTTGCTTTATGCAAATCCCTTTATAAATATAACTGCTGCTTGGTAATCATGACCTTAATTTTTTGCTTTAATAAAGAAATAATAATATTAATTTGGATGAAGAATACAAACCATTATTTGAATATCCAAAATATTCGAAAGAATATAATTATTCTGTTAGTTTTCGTAATTAATAGTTGTTTTGTAAGATATGATTGTTTAGGTTTATCAATTTCTCGTATGATAGTTTCCAATATTTCATCAATCAATTTTACGTCAAAGTAATAAGATATTTCGTTTTATTTATTTTACAGAGAAGGGTTTAACATTAAATTTAGTTGGCATAGTAATGATAAAATTGAACGAGAATTTTTAAGCAATATAGTGAATGTATATTTAAATTTGCGAAAATTAATAATTAAGCTTCCTCAAATTCATAAAATGTTTTGTTCCCAATAATTTAGTCAATATTACTACTTTTGAAAAGCCTTGTACAATACTTAAATTATTTAAGATAGTGAATTGTTATTTGCACGGCTGGTGACACATCATTAATGATCAAATATTTAAATATTTAGTGAATTGTTATTTGCACGGCTGATGACACATCATTAATGATCAATAATTGAAAATCCAATAATTCTTCTTATTAAAAATATATCAATTTACTGTTCAAATCTTAGTACTTTTTTAAAAATAAGAATTGTTTCCCATTTTGATTTATCAGTGTTACCATGTTTTTAAACATTTAAAAAACAAGCATATTAAAATTTAATATTATTTCAAAAAATTCTGAATTATTTATAAATTTAAAAAATTTAAAAAAATAATATAACTTAGCAAAATTTCTAACGATTTATTAAGGAATTTTTAGAAAATTGTCATAATAAGTTTAAAATAATTCATTTAAATCATATGATTGAGTTAAAATTTCTTAAAATTTTTTAAATTAAGGTAATGATAGTTTAAAAATTCTTGGTATGTAAGGAATTGGAAAGAAAATTGATTAATTTAAATGATGAGGAATCAAAATAATTGAATAGAGTTAAAGCTAAAGAAGTTAAAATAAAAAAATTTAATAGTATACATTGTTTTTATAAAGTTATATAATATTAATATTAAACTGAGAGTTTATAGGGTTAAAATTTAGTTTTAGGGTTGATTTGATTTGTTTACTGTTATTTATTTGCTTATAAATAAAGCCAAAAATTTAAATATCAAAACTAATTTAGATTCAATTGGTGTAACAAAATATAAAGATTTATCAATCTCATCACATTAGTTGAAAATTATGAAGTATTACAACATCATACTAACGATGTTTTCTATTGTGCTATAATAATACTTCTTACAAGGATATAAAATATCATAATATTGTGTAATCATACTTAATATTACGTTAGGATTTATGAAATTTATTGCCGTCTGTAAATTAATTCGTTTTCATTTTGTATTAATAAATACTGAAATATGATATTACTCCTCTTCGAATATTTTATAGTAATTTCTCATAATTAAAATTCAGGTTCGTTATACTGTATTGTTAGAAGAAAAAAAATATGCGCGATAAAAAAAATACATATCCTTAAAGTTATAAATAACCTTGTAGTTTTAATTGCTAGCTTATCATGATAGAATTATAGGTAAAAAAACGCATTAGATGCAATTAGATACAGTACAACAATAGTTCGCAAGAAATTTTGTTGGATTTGTATTAGGATTAGGATCTTTTAAACTCTTCTCTAATTATCTTGTATTTCTTATATTATGAAACTCGAGATATAACAACATCGATTAAAAATAAGTAATCATTTCCAGTCTATGATTATTTTGATTTTACATGACTGATTATTATTTAATGTGTATTTTTAATGCGTTATTCTCATTTAGGTCATATGACTTCAGAAAAGTGTGTTACAACCAAGGGTAAATCTCGTAATAAATATATTGCAGCAAATTTTTTACGCAATTTACACATCAAAAAAAAAAAACAAAAAAATAAATAAAATAAAAATATAAAAATCAATAAATAAAATAAAATGAAATGAATGAATGAATTAAATAAGTCACTCTCTGAGTAACGATTTAATACTATCAATATTTAAAATATATGATTCAATAACTTAGAAAAAATTGAAAGAAAAAAGGGTAAAAGTCTCAAATTTGATTTATACAAATAAACCTATTTGGTAACTTTGATTAAAAAGTATGAAGTATGCGAAATATAATTAAAGGAAAAAAAATAATTCAAGCATACAGTATGCAACAAATGAAGTTGTAAATGATATTTTTTTTTTAAAATTAAATAAATATAATCAAAAGGTTAATTAAAGTGTGATTTCTCTATGAATATGATTTTGTTCACTAAAAAAAATTCTAAGAAAAAATATTAAATCGTTTGTAGTATAATGGCTTAATCGCTACTCTAACAAATTTAGATTTTAGATTTAGTAGGATATTGTGTAAAAAAGTTGATTTCTACGATTAAAATATTATGCTATTGCAATGGATGTTGCTCAATAGGCACAAATGACCAGTTCTTATGACCATTCATTGCTAACAAAAAACTTTCAAAAATTTTTTCAGATAAGTACTATGGGTAAGAAGTACTATTAATAATTTATTCTTTATGAACTGATCCCATTTGTGTAGAAGAAGAGGACTCCGAGAAAATATATATATAGGTAATTAGCTCTACGCATCTTCAAGGCCAGAATTGCGCAATGCCACCTGGCATTATCCAAAAAGGAATGATCTACGTATTATTTTGAAAACAAAATCTATTATCGATGTTCCTACAATGAAATAATGTTTTAAGCAATGAAATTAATGTTAGATGTGGATTCAGTTTATTTATTAGTGATGCCTGGCCTTTATTTCGTCCATTACCCATAACTTCTCGTACTTCAAGTAATTTCTTTTTAAATGCTTTTCCAAGCCTCCTGATGTACCATCAAATCATTTAAGATCTCTCGCTTCTGGCGGCGAAATTGAATTATCTCCTGAAACTTTAAAAGCTTCTATAATCACTTCTTATTTCACTTATTTAATGCAAGCTCATTCACAAGGTTGTATTTATCAAAATTCTTTACCTCCATTACTAACCCCATTTTCCGATGATTCATAGTATTTTAGCTAGTTGTGGAAGAAAGGAAGCTCAAACTGAATTGGTTAAAACTATACAAGATTGTGGAGCTTATTTAATGAGTATTATTAATTGTGTATTAGATTTTGCGAAATTAGAAAGTGAAGAACAAGATTACGTTGAAGATCAAATCAATCAAAAAAAAAAAAAAAAAAAGACAATGATAATAAAATAGTAAATAGAAATAATAATAAAAAGAAAAAGGGAGGAACGAATTGATTTAGTTAAATTAT